CAGAAGGTCACATTCACATGCGGGATATAAAAACATCGTAGGGGGCCGGAGCCATAACACAGCGGGGAGAGTTTGCCTTGCACACAGCTGACCTGGGTTCGATACCCAACATCCCATATGGTCCCCTGAGCACCACCAGGAGTAATTCCTGAGTGCATGCGCCAGGAGGAACCCTGCGCATCGCCAGGTGTGACCCAAAAAGCAAAAAAATAAGAGTCAATGTTTTTAAAAAAAAAATACCGCAGGATGGGGAGGGAGTGATCAGATGGTGGTCGGGTGCGGTGTTGGCCTTGCACGTGGCCGACCCAGCTTTCATCCCCACAGGGTCCCCCACAGGGTCCCCTGAGCCCACTAGAGGAGACCCCTGAGCGCAGAGTCAGGACGTCAGACCTCAGCACTGCCATGTATGGCTCCAAACCCGAAAAACCAAACCAAACTGCAACTGAAGCCCAGCATGAGGGTTATGCCTGAGGACAACGGGACCGAGGGCAGGAGGGACATCGAGGCAGGATGGGGTGGGGGGGTTGGGACAGACGCGGCAGGGAGCTCGCCCGGGGGAGGAGGTGCGGCGAGGGCAGGGCCCACCGTGACAGCGATAGGGGACACGATCACGCCGGAGCAGCGCTGAGGGCTGAGAGGCGGTAAGGTGATCGCCACGATACCCTTTCAGCGGCCGGATTATTTACCACAGCACTGAGAGAAAAGGGGGGGGAGGAAGAAGAGAGAAAGAAGAAAAGGCCTGCCACAGAGGCGGGCCGCGGAGGGGGGAGGCGCAAAGGGAAACCCGGGACGTTGGTGGCAGGAAATGTTGTGTCCTGACCAGGAATCACAGTCGTCTGTGAGATCCCACCCACCCATCCATCCACAAACACATCAACCATCCATCCATACAGATATCCATTCACCTGGCCACCCAACCAACCACCCATGCACGCACGCACACACCCACGCATGCATCCATCCATCCACCCCCCCATCTTCCCACCCCAGGCCCCCGCCTAACCGCCCTGGTCCCCTCACCACCCATGGAACTAAATCCCCCAGGATTCCTGGGGCCCAGTGTGCTGCCTGGGGGGAGCCCCCAGCTCTGGGCCACAAAGATCTGGCTCTGGTTCTGGTTCTGATTCTGCTCTGCTCAGGCTCTGGGCATCTTCTCTGGCACCTCCTGGCCGCTTTGTGTCTGCCCTAGGGGGGAGGGTTCCCAGGTCGTGGGCTGCTGAGCAAGGCAGGCGGGGTGGAACACGGCAGGAGCCCAGTGCGTGAGTGGTGGTGGCCATGCTGGATCACGGGCTCACGGGGCAGGAGGAGACGGAGGCGGATGCAGATGAGCCCAGCCTGCATCCCCTACAGCTGCGCAGGGGGGCCGAGGGCTGGGCCTGGTTTGTGGGAGCTCAGAGCCGCCTCCTGGCGGGTGCTCAGGGCCCCGGATTCTGACCCTCCATTTCTGGGCCGCAGCCTATAGCAAGGAGACCCGACAAGGCGTCCCCAAGGCCTGAGGCTCCTTGAAGGTACAGATGACACCCACACAGACGCCCTGGCAAATACCTCTCCCCACTTCTAAGGGGGCAGATGCGGAGTCGAGAGCAGAGCAGAGGGGGCTGCGGAGGAGAGCCCTGGTGGGCCTGGACTCAGGCCTGACTCCTCACCCCACAGGACAAAGCGGAAGGAGAGAGCTCAGTTCTTTCCTGAGGCTCCTACCAGTTCACACTCGTCAATCCACCACCCTCGTATTTGCTCATCTACCCTCCCTTCATTCATCACCTTTCCCAAGACACGACGCATTCTCCACCCATCCACCCAACCACGCACGCACCCACCCACCACCCACCTATCCACAACCTTCCTTCCACCATTCACCCACGTGCCTATTCATCCATCTAATACACCTATCCACCCACCCACCCACCCACCCATCCATACATCCATCCACCGTCTACCCATACATACATCCGTTCACCCCTCCACCCTTCATCTATTCACCCAGCCATCCAACCATCTGTCCATGCACACATGCACAACACCCACGCATGCACCCATTCATATATGCCTCCACACATCCACCTACTCATCCATCCATTCTTGCATGCGTGCATGCATTCATTAATCCATGCATCCATCCATGCATCCATCCATCCACCCACCCATCCATCCACCCACCCATCCACCCACCCACCCATCCATGTATCCATCCATCCATCCATCCATCCATCCATCCATCCATTCACCCATCCACCCACCCACCCATCCATGTATCCATCCATCCATCCATCCATCCATCCATCCATCCATTCACCCATCCACCCACCCACCCATCCATCCATCTATCCATGCATCCATCCACCAACCCATCCACTCATCCATCCATCCACCCATCCATCCATCCACCCACCCACCCACCCATGTATCCATCCATCCATCCATCCATCCATCCATCCATCCATCCATCCACCCATCCACCCACCCACCCATCCATCCATCTATCCACGCATCCATCCACCAACCCATCCATCCATCCATCCATCCATCCACCCACCCACCCACCCATCCACCCACCCACCCATCCATCCACCCATCATGACCATCCATCCACCACCCCTTTCTCTCCTTAGCTTTCATTTCATCTCAGTCTACGCTTACCCCCCAATCCCTGCTACCCACGAGCCTGTGCTGGGAACAGAAATCACTCCACATGACTCTCTCATGCTGCGCCCGAACAAGACGAACACGGGAACCGTATCTCCCTGTGTGGCGGGGACCAGCCCTGCACAGCCCTAACTCCCCGGGCCGGGTGCTCCCAGTCCACGCTGACAGCAGGTGGGAAGGCGCACGGGCCTTTGCTGCCCCAAGTCCCGCAGCGATTACTCGAGGGTGGACCCCAGCCTCTGCCTCTCCTTGGTCTTCCTTCTGAGGAAGGAAGTGGACCCAGGGCCCGCCTGCCTCTGCCCGGGCTCCTGGGGGTTGTGGGCAGGCCCTGCCCTTTGCAGCTGTGATGCCTCTGGGCTCTGCCGGTGGTCTTTACCGCAAGAAACAAGTCCATGCCCAAACTACCGACAGCGTGTCTGTGCCATGCCTGTGCCAAGCAACTCCTCCTCATCACAGTCCCTGCTCCCCCAGGGTCTAAGGTCCAGAGATGGCCATCACTGGCCGGCCTGTGCCCAGTAGGTGGGAATCTGAGCCAAGGTGCCCTAGCTCCAGAGACATCCACTGTCCACCACACACGACTGTCAGCCCAGCAGAACCACGTGGCTGGAAAACGAGGGAGGCGGGAGCTCGTGCAGAGGGGGTGCCCGCGGGTGAACCGACTTGGCCCCAGGTCACCCTCAGCTGCTCCCCTGTCTTGAAGCGTCTGGAGATGATGCCCAAAGCTCAAAGCACAGCCTGGCGGACTTATCCCGGCAGAGGTTTCCGTGGCAGACACGGCCTTGTGGCAGACGCCTTTCCTTGCAATGGTGCGACGCGCATCTCAGCCCAAGCCCAGCGCACAGGGCTCTGCCTATGTGGCCACCCCCGTTGCCTGAAACTCTCTCGGGGCATCCCCCTTCCCCCGCCGTGTCCCATCACAGGGCCCTTGGGGAAGTGCATCTTCTTTTTTTTCTTTTTGAGACACACCCAGTGATGCTCAGGGGTTCTTCCTGGCTCCGCACTCAGGAATTACTCCTGGTGGTGCTTGGGGGACCCTATGGGATGCTGGGAATCAAACTTGGGTCGGTCGCGTGTAAGGCAAACGCCTGACCCGCTGTGCTATCGCTCCAGCCCTGGGAAGTGCATCTCCGTTATTTTCGGAAGGTTTGAGAACAGCCCATGGTTCTCCCCAACTCCTCAGTCAGGGTGGGCAGAGGGGGGATTGGGAGCGGAGGAGGGGGGAGAAGACACGGATGCCATGATTCCCACCCCCGCCCCAGGCTGCCCTCGCCCCCTCTGCAGGCCTCTGCCCAATGCCCTTCCTCCCCCTTCTGTCACTTCTGTGTCCTTGGGCGCAGTGTCTGGCAGTGGGGAGGAGTGGCCGGAGCCCGCAGCCTCAAGTCGGGGGAGGAAACTGCGGCCCAGCTCTGCCCCCTTCTGGGCGCCCTCCCCTTTCTCCTCGGGGCTGCAGCCCTGTCCAGGTCTGGCCCGCCTGCCCGGGCCAGGGGGGCGGGGCTTGGGCATGTGCAAACTCAGCCCAGACTCAGCCCTGAGCTCAGGGACCGCTTGCAGAATCACCCCGTTCCCGGGTGCAGATCAGCCTCGGGACGGACCCTCCTGTGCATCTGTCCCTGCCTCCCACTGCGGCTGAGTCACACGACGGCAGCAAACAGGAGTCCCTGCCACCACCACCAGCAGCCCACGCAGCTTTAGGGACACGGGGTAGGGGGTTTCGGATCAAAGCCTGCGAGCACTAGGACTAAACACAGGATCATGAGTCCAGACGGCCACAGCGAGTCCCCTCTCTGCATCCCTGCCCTTGGCCGTGCGACACCAGTGACTCCTTGGTCCCTGCACCGGGGCTGGACTCTTGAGCCCATGTGGCGAAGGCCCAAAGTGAGTAAGGCCAGGCCAGCCTGGAGGGGCCACATGCCAGTGGTCGCCAGTCCCAGTCCCCGGCCCCCAAAGCTGCAGACTCAGCTGGGCTCCAGGCCCCTGGGGAATCAGCCCCGATTCTGCGTCGAGGGCGGATGAAGAGATGCACTCACAGGACGGGACTGACCACAGAGAAACAAGGGGATGATTCTGGTCCCCTCAACACAGATCAGAAGGACTGAGAAACAGGACTTGGGGGCCAGGGAGACCCCCTTTGTGTTCGGGTCACCTGCCGTGTCCATGCAGGGCTCTGGGCCTGAGCTCCAGCCCCGATGACCCCCTGAGCACGGCAGGCCCAGCCACGGAGCCCCTGAGCACTGTCCGAAGGACCGGGCTGTGAGCATCACTCAGGTCCTGCAGAGTGTCACGGAAGGGTCGCCCAGACCCCCGGGACGGGAGGGCGCACCCCACGCCCATAAACCCAAGCCCGGACTGGCGCTCACCAGGATCTTGGTGGTGTAGGCGCTGTTGATGGAGATGGCGTTGACCAGCAGCTCCAGGGTCTTGGCGTTGATGGAGCTGGGGTCGGGGATCTCCTTGTAGTGGACATCGCCCACGTAGGCCTGCACCACGGTCATGCGGTTGGTGGTCAGCGTGCCCGTCTTGTCTGAGCAGATGGCTGTGGCGTTCCCCATGGTCTCACAGGCGTCCAGGTGACGGACCAGGTTATTGTCCTTCATCATTTTCTGGGGAAGGGATGGGGAGAGAGTGGCAGTGAGGAGGGGGCCGGGCAGGGCGGGGCCCCCGAGCACTTGCAGTGACCAGACAGAGTTGTCGAGTTGTCATGTTCTCATGGTAGCTTCCTCTGAAAGCAGTGGATGGCCACTATGACACATGCAATCTGTCTTCTTGGGGGTCCATAAGGTGCTGGGGCCCACGGAGAGCCTGTGTTCTGCCTCTGAGCTTCCCTCTGGCCACTCTGCCTGACTCATGGGGAGAGCGAAGGCAGGCGGGGGCTTTTTAATTTTCTCTTTTACCCTGACATCAGCAACTTGGCCTTGTTGGCTGACAGTCTCTGAAATAGAACATCTTCCACCGAAGATGGACTTTTTTTTTTCTTTTTGGGTCACACCTGGCGATGCTCAGGGTTTACTCCTGGCTCTGCACTCAGGAGTTACTCCTGGCAGTGCCCAGGGGACCGTATGGGATGCCGGGGATTGAACCCGCATCGGCCGCGTGCAAGGCAAACGCCCTCCCCGCTGTGCTATCACTCCAGCCTCAGAGACGGACTTTCTTTGACTTTACCAACAACAAATAAAACCAGGATCGGTTAAGCGCTCAGGAGCAAGGGAGGTAGCGAGGAAAAGGGGAAACATCTCGATGCGTTCACGTCTGAGTAGTAAAATGCTAGGATCCAAGTGTCTTCTTCTAAAAATTGGCATATGGATTCTACTTTTGATAAGGAAATGAAGACATTATAATTTGCACAAGAAATGCCACATGCTTAAAAATATACGTATATAAATACAAAATGTAAAAATGAGACATTTTTTAAAAAGAAACTCAACCGTGACGCCACCACCCAGACTGACCTATCTTGTTTATCAATGTTGTTTTAAGGGCACAGAGCAGGTTGGGCGTCACCTTGCATGTGGCCCACCTGGGTTCGATCCCCAGCACCCCATATGGTTCCCTGAGCACCAGGAGTGATCCCTGAGCACAGAGCCAGGACTAAGCCCTGAGCATCACTGAGTGTGTGGCCCTAAAACCAAAACCAAGACAAAGACACAGGGTGGAAGAGGAGAGGGCATTTGCCTTGCAGGTGACTGACTCGGGTTCAATTCCTGGCACCCCATATGGTCCTCAGAGTACTGTCAGGAGTGATTCCTGAGCACAGAACCAAGACAAAGCCCTGAGTACTGCTGGACCAAAAAAAATGGGGGGGCTGATTTGTCACTAAATGGATTGTGAGGAGTGAAAATATTGGGTAGGAGGGGAAAGCCTCGGACGTGCCTTGCACATGGCTGACCCAGTTGGTTCCTGGCAGCAACGGGTCTCTGAGCATCACAGGGGATAGCCCTGCAGGTTGGGGTGTCCCTGGCCTCCCTGATGCTGTAGCCTGCGAGAAGCTCCCCCATCCCTTGTGTGGAGAGTTGGCGTGGTTGGCCCCTCTCAAGAGCAATAAATACACGCTGGTGGGGCTGGAGCAACAGCATGGAGCGGGGAGGGGTTTGCCTTGCACGCGGCCGATCTGGGTTCGAGTCCCAGCATCCCATATGGTCCCCTGAGCACCACCAGGGGTGATTCCTGAGTGTAGAGCCAGGAGTAACCCCTGAGCATCGCCAGGTGTGACCCAAAAAAACCCCAAAAAACAAAAACAAAACACAAAAAACAACATAAAAAAAAACCCATTCTGGAGTCTTAAGACCGATGGTGCAAAAGGAGGTACAAACAGCCTCACTCTGTCCCCGGCGCTATCCACGCTGCCCCACAGGGGTCTAAGTCACCGACGTGGGTGAAACTGAACCCCTACCTCTTCTTGGGACATTGGGTGTCACCCATGCATTTGTCTGGCTCCCCACCCCCCAGCGGGCAGTGCTCCCTCTGGGGTGGTGTGTGGGAGCTTATCAAGTGTCCGTACATGCAACACCACCCGGGGGCTGGAGGTGCAGGTTCCTGGCAAGTGAACGACAGCGGCACGGAGGCCGTGTCTGCCCAGGGCCCCCAGGTCACGGCAACTTCTGAGGATCCCGAGCTCAGCTGGGCGGCCCTGAGGACCCCCAAGACTCAGGACTGGCAAATCGTCACATGGAGCCCCGTCTGGGTGTCTGCTGGGTGGGCCGGAGTCTCCTCAGCCCTGGCGGTAAGGCCGGATGACACTGCGGGCCCGGCGCGCCCTGAGCTCCCTTCTCTGTATGAAATTACACCAGCGCACCGGGCCCAAATTCCGGCCCGGTAACTGATGCGCTTGGGGCCCGCCAGCCAGGCACAGATGCGCCTCACGGGAATATCCTGGGGACAGGAGCAAAGGCCCTGATGTGGGGGGTCTGGGGTCCCGGGAAGGAGTAAGCCCAGGGCGTGAGTGAGGACCCCCAGGACGAGCCAGAGAGAACCCGCCTGCTTGTCGGGAACAAGAGCTGGCCGGCTGGACATCAGCGAACACTAGGGGACGCTGCCCTCACCCCCCAGCCACTCAGGACACCCTCCAGCCGGGCACAGATGCGCCTCACAGGAATATCCTGGGGACAGGAGCAAAGGCCCCGGTGTGGGGGGTCTGGGGTCCCGGGAAGGAGTAAGCCCAGGGTGTGAGTGAGGACCCCCCAGGACGAGCCCTGGTGCCAGCCCTTGTCCAGAGAGCAGGGCTGTGCTCCCAAAAAACCAACTCAGAGCTGAGCTCTGAGCACCCCAAACTGTGGGCCCAGCATGGGGACTGCACGCTGGTGTGTGTGTGTGTGTGTGTGTGTGTGTGTGTGTGTGCGCGCGCGTGCACGCACTGCTGCGTGTGTCTGGGGGAGGGGGTGGGGATGGGCTGAGGCCTCCACAGAGACTGCTGCGTGTCACCTCTGCACAGTGGGGACGGGGTCAGTGGCAGAGCCTCATAGGAGAGCTGGAGGGTGGGTACCCGACACTGGGCGGGACCCTCCACCCGACACTGGGCGGGACCCTCCACCCGACACTGGGCGGGACCCTCCCCAGCACCACAGCCGACAGCCACAACCAGGCTGACGGTCGATGCTTCAGGCTCACGGGGACAGGAGAGAAGGCACGGAAGGGCGCTGGCCCTGCACGTAGCTGACCCGGGCTTGGTTCCTGGCACCCCACAGGGACCCCGGAGCCCCCAGGAGAGATCCCTGAGTGCAGAGCCAGGAGTCAGCCTGAGCAGCGCCGAGTGTGGCCCCCAAGCAAACCAGACCAAAGTCGGAGGTTTCGGCAGAGCCAGGTACTGGCCCCAGACTGCGTCCTGCCCCGTGGCCCCTCCTGGCCGCCCGAGGCCTGGGCGTTGAGGCTCCCGGCTCTGTCCTCTCTCGGCTCCCAGGGGGTCTTTCCCTTCCTGGGTCTCCTCCCGCCGTCCAGCCCTGCGGCCCCCCACACCCCTCCTCACCTTCACGGAGTAGGCCAGGGAGATGGTGACGGCCAGAGGCAGCCCCTCGGGCACCGCGACCACCAGCACCGTCACCCCGATGATGAAGAACTTGACGAAGTACTGGACGTACACGGGGGTGCACTCGGGGAGCCATGGCTTCTTGTTGACCACGAAGGTGTCCACGGTGAAGTAGAGCACCAGGATGATGACCGTGATGGCCGACATCACCAGGCCTGTGGGGGGGGAGGGTGCGCTCAGGGGGCTTCCGAGAAGCACAGCGCGGCCCAGCTCGTAGCCCTGCGCTGCCCCCGACCATCACGGAGCCTCAGTGTCCAGCCCGTCCTGTGGGAATGAGTGGACCTCATGGAAGTGCCCGGCCAGCTGTGCCTGCCCGGCGTGGGCCACTGGGCTCTGGCCTGGTGGCTCCCGTGGTCTCTGCTCGCCCTTGCATGTGCCAGCCACACAGTGGGAGAGGGGACAGTGCCCTCCTCGGGCACGAGAGGACACAACTGGCGGGAGCCCGCAGGGAGGCCGCGGGGGAGGGCAGGGAGGGTCAGAGCCGCGGCGGGGAGGAGTCCTGGCCAGGAGGGAGGACTCGAGGACAGAGGTGGAGAGGAGGGGAGGGGGCGACGGTGGACACAATCCCCGCTCTGCAGCTGGGGGCCATGGTTGCCTCGGGCAATGGGCTGTAGCAGACACACATGCGAGTGTGTGCGGGTGTACGCAGGTGTGTGTGGGTGTGTGCGGGTCTGTGCAAGTGTGTGTGTATGCGAGTGTATGTGGGTGTGTGCAAGTGTGTGCGAGTGTATGCAAACGTGTGCGGGTGTGTGCTAGTGTATGTGGGTGTGTGCAAGTGTGTGCGGCAGTTGTATGTGGGTGTATGGGGGTGTGCTAGTGTATGCGGGTGTGTGTGGGAGTGAGCGGGTGTGTGTGAGTGTGTGCAGGTGTATGCAGGTGTGTGTGGGTGTGAGCGAGTGTGTGTGGATGTGTGCGAGTGTATGTGGGTGTGTGCAAGTGTGTGTGGGTGGGCGAGTGTGTGCGAGTGTGAGTGTATGTGGGTGTGTGCAGAAGTATGCGGGTGTGTGCGAGTGTGTGTGGGTGTGTGCGGGTGTACGCAGGTGTGTGTGGGTGTGTGCGGGTCTGTGCAAGTGTGTGTGAGTGTATGCGGGTGTGTGCAGCAGATGTATGTCGGTGTGTGCGAGTGTATGCAAACATGTGCGGGTGTGTGCTAGTGTATGCGGGTGTGTGTGAGTGTGTGCAGGTGTGTGCGGGTGTGTGCGAGTGTTTGCGGCAGTTGTATGTGGGTGTATGGGGGTGTGTGAGTGTATGCAGGTGTGTGTGGGAGTGAGTGGGTGTGTGTGTGTGCGGGTGTATGTAAACGTGTGCGGGTGTGTGAGTGTGCAGGTGTGTGCGAGGGTGTGCGTGGGTGTGTGCGAGTGTGGGCGGGTGTGTGAGTATGAGTGTATGTGGGTGTGTGCAGAAGTATGTGGGTGTGAGTGAGTGTGTGCGGGTGTGTGCGAGGGTGTGTGTGGTTGTGTGTGAGTGTGCGTGGGTGTGCGAGTGTGTGTGAGTGTGAGTGTATGTGGGTGTGTGCAGAAGTATGTGGGTGTGTTTGAGTGTGTGTGGGTGTATGCAGGTGTGTGGGTGTGTGCAAGTGTGTGCGAGTGTATGCAAACGTGTGCGGGTGTGTGCGAGTGTGTGCAGGTGTGTGTGGGTGTGTGCGAGTGTGTGCGGCAATTGTATGTGGGTGTATGGGGGTGTGCGAGTGTATGCAAACATATGCGGTGTGTGCTAGTGTATGCGGGTGTATGTGAACGTGTGCGGGTGTGTGTGAGTGTGTGCGGGTTGTGCAAGTGTGCGTGGGTGAGTGTGGGTGTTTGCGAGTGTATGTGTGTGTGCGAGTGTGTGTGGGTAGGCGGGTGTGTGTAAGTGTGAGTGTATGTGGGTGTGTGCAGAAGTATGCGGGTGTGTGCGAGTGTGTGCGAGTGTATGTGGGTGTGTGCAGCGGATGTATGTGAGTGTGTGGGTGTGTGTGATTGTATGCGAACATGTGCGGGTGTGTGCTAGTGTATGCGGGTGTATGTGAACGTGTGTGGATGTGTGCGAGTGTATGCAGTTGTGTGCAGGTGTGTGCGAGTATATGTGGCTGTGTGCAAGTGTGTGTGGGTAGGCGGGTGTGTGTGAGTGTGAGTGTATGTGGGTGTGTGCAGAAGTATGCAGGTGTGTGTGAGTGTGTGTGAGTGTGTTGGGGTGTGTGCGGGTGTGTGCAAGTGTGTCCTGGGATCAGTCGTCGTCCATTAAAAACAAAGAGAAAAACACGAGGGAAAGGCGGCTGGGGGTGACAGACGAGGACGGGCTGCTGTGGCTCAGGCGCTCAAGGGGGTCTTCCCGGAGGTGGTGATGTGGAGCCGCGGGCAGAAGCACGGGAAGGGGCAGCCAGGCGGGGGCCAGTGGGAAGGGGTCCGGGGAGGGGGCAAGGCAGGGGACGCCATGTGGGTCGAGAAAACAGGTTCAGGGAAGAGAAGTGACTTGCTGAGACCAAGGGGGCTGTAAGCTGCTAAGGTCAGTGGGGCCTGGGGCCACTGTGGTCGGAGGGCGTGTGCCCACCCCGTGGGCCCCTGCTGTCCCCAAGGCTGCGCCTGCAGCAGCAGACAGAGCGGGAGGGACAGGGACGGGCGTCCCCCATCAGTCTCCAGGCCCATATCTGGGGTGGGGCAGAATCCCAGCTCCTGCCCCACTGCCCCAGCTCAGCAGCGCCCCTGCAACTGTCCCGCACCCTCCCCCTCTCCCGAGGGACCCCCGTGCCCACGTGGGCTCAGCCTCCAGGCAGAGGCAGGGAGGGGTGGGGGGGAGCCAACCCCCCGGCCAGGAGTACCCTGACAGGGTCCCCCACCCCTTGTCTCCTTGGGGGGTTGGGAGGGGTCCCCGCCCCCCCGGGCCCCCCAGCTGCAGACCCGCAGCCAGGAGGGGAGTGAGGGGTGAAACACTGACCTGGGCTGTGAGCAGGAGACGCCCAGGTGGGGGGTGGCGGAGCGCCCCCGCCCGGGCTGGAAAGTTCACTCGTGGGTGCTCAGCCAAGTGACCCCCGGCTTAGGCTCCCACCCTGGCCCTTGACTTCTCCCACCTGCCCTGGTCTACAGCAGGACGGTTCATCCGGAGCCCAGTCCAGCCGGCCTGTCCAGCCCTCCAGAGGGCTCAGAACCAAGCGCAGGGGCGACGGGACGGCCCCCAGCCGGCCTTCGCGGCTCAGGCTGGACCTCCTGACGGACTTCCGCAGGGTAACGGGCACCTGAGCAACTGCGACTCGGTTTCCCCAACTTCCACCCTGGGAGCGGGTGGGTGGAGCTAGAGGAAGGTGGGCGCCGGTGTCCGGCTGCAGCCTTGGCGGAGTGGACGGCATGAGGCAAGGGGGAGCGGGGGCCTGGCGCTGCGGGCATTCCACTCACCCGCCTTGCCGATCTGCACGGCCAGCTTGGTGAGCTTGCCCTGCAGCACCGACTTCTCCTTCTTGTGCGCGCTGGCCTTCTTCCTGTCGTCCGCGTCCCCGCCCTCGGCGCTCTTCAGAGGCTGCATCTCCATGGCGGCCGCCCCGTCCTGCTGCTTGGCTGCAGGGACAGAGGGAGGGGGCGGACACGCAGACACACGGACACACGCAGACACACAGACACGTGCACCGCAGGTCAGCCCGCAGGCGGGGCGTGGGAGAGACTCCCCGCCTGGGCCCCTCCCCGCACGGCCAGCTCAGAAGTCTCGCATGCGTGTGTGTGCGTGCCCGTGTACACGTGTGCATGTGTGTGGTACATCTCTTTGTGTGTGCACGCCTGTGTGTGCATATGTGTGAGTGTGCATATTCACGTGCATGTGTGTGTGACTGTGCATGCCTGTGTGTGCATGTCTATCTGGGTATGCATGCATGTGTGTGTGTGTGCACGTGTGCATGTGCTGCTGTGTGCACGTCTCTGTGTGCATGCAATGTACATGCATGTCTTTGTGTGCATCTGTGTGCATGTGTGCCTGTATCTGTGTGCATGTGCGCATGGATGTCTGTATATGCATGTGTGCATTGTGGGTGTACTTGCATAGATAACTGTGTGTATGTATTTGTGTCAGTGCCTGTATTCTGTGTGTGCATGTGTATGTGTGTGGTCCCTCCTGCAGCTGGGACTCTGGTCCCAGGAATACTCTCTGGCCCCAACCTGGGCTCAGACACCGCAAGGCACGAGTGGGCGGGTGGCCCCTCACCCCTCACCCCTGCTCGCCCCCCACTAAGACGGGACCTGCAGGCATGGGGCCTCGGAGGGGGGCTGGCGAGTGCCCATGAGACAGAGGACACAGAGACGGGCTTACGAGGCCCAAGAGCGCCCGGTCCCTGTGTGCCGCTCCCGGCCCAGCCCCAGGACTAAGAGGCCAGCGTGCAGCTGCACGGGGCTGAGCTCCGAGGCTGGGGCAGGGTGGCCCGTGGCGTCTCCGCGTGAGCCCAGCGACACCCCCGCAGCCCTGGGGTGTGGGCATGGTGCCAGGTCACCCCTGGAGGCCCGGGAACAGAGAGGGTTACCTTTGCTCTGGCTGGCGTCCGCATTGCCATCCTGCATCTTACCTACGCGACAAAGAATTTTAACAGACAACGGAGCATGGACACCACACACGTGGGCACCACAAAGACACGACAGGCCATGGACACGCGTGGCACAGACGGGGGCGGGGGGATGCCATCTCCTTCCCTCTGTGTGGCCTGGGAGACCAGGGTGGGCCCATATGACCCGCCGTGTGGGGCGGGGCTGGCTGAAGCCTGGCCTGGGCGCAGGGACGGGGTCTGGGCAGTGGAGCAGGGGCCCAGGCCCGGGTCCCCAGGGACTGGTCACTGCCTTTTGTGGAGAGAGAGAGGAAGAGAGAGAGGTACAGACAGGCAGAGACAGAGACAGGCAGACAGAGCGAGAGGAAGGGCGTGATTCTCCGACGCGGGCGTCTTGCCATGGTGTCCCTAAGGCTGGCCTAGGCCATACGTACTCCCATGTCCCTTTCAGTGGGTGTGGCCACACCTGCCCGGCATGGACGCACCTGCCCAGGCCCCTGCAGACGCACTTGCGGGGAGGGAGTGGAGGGTCCCCAGCTGTTAGCCGTGCTGGGGGGACCTGGAGCACTGTGTGGAGCCCCGAGAGACGCTGGCTGGACCCTGGCTGTGGGTGGGCATCAGGAGAAGGCTGGTCAGCTCCAGGTGAGCCGAGCCCCTCGGCCAGGGTGCCCGAGTGCCCTCAGCCCAGTGCAGCTCGGAGGTGGGCAGAGGTGACCCCGTCCTCGCCTACTGCAGTGCCTGGGGGGCCTCCCGCCTTCCCAGCCCGTCCCCATTTCATCCGGGTCTGCGGGTGCCTCCCCAGGAGAAGGAGCAGGTCAACAGAGGCGGGTGGTGTTCGCAGGTGCAGTCCTCACAATGGCCTACGAGGGCGCTCTTGCACCCCCTTTTTTTCCTTTTTGGGTCACACCTGGCGATGCACAGGGGTTACTCCTGGCTCTGCCTGCACTCAGGAGTTACTCCTGGCGGTGCTCAGGGGACCATATGGGATGCTGGGAATCGAACCTGGGTCGGCCGCGTGCAAGGCAAACGCCCTACCTGCTGTGCTATCTCTCCAGCCCTCTTGTAGCCCATTTACAGATGAAAAACGGAGGCTGAGGCGAGGGCCATTCCCCCCCCCCCCCCCAGCCTGTGGTACCACGTGAGAGTGTGGCTTGACGGCCCTGGCCTCAGTTTCTCCCTCTGAAATGGGGGTACGACCCCACCGCCCAGCTAGCTACCTGGAGGGAGACCCTGCCCGGTCAGCCCTTGGCAGTGGGCAGGGCAAATGTCACCCCTTGTTGTCCCCAAATCCCATATGGCAGGGGGCTCTTATGCCATTCTGTGGGCGAGTAAACTGAGTCAGGGGTACCGAGCTTATCTTCCTGGAGGCTCCCTGAGTACCATGCTGGGCTCCCCAGCCCCCATCACCCTAAGTGCTGGCTGGCCTATCCCAGGCAGCTAGACACTCTTCCTTGCACAGACCCCCCAGGGCCCAGACAGGAAGGTTTGTCCTGCACGTCTGTCAGATTCTTCCTTCCTGGGGCCAGAGCGACAGGACAGTGGGGAGGGCTCTCGCCTTGCAGGTGCCTGATACCCGTTTTGATCTCCACATCAGTTCCGGTTCCGCACCACCAGGAGTAAGCCCTGGGCACCTCGGGGTATGTCCCCCCAAAACAAAACAAAACAAAAACCCAGAACAACAGCAAAAAAAAAAAAAACCAGAAAAAACAACAACAAAAAGCCCTTCAGTCCCGCTAGGCTGAAATGCGGCAGACACAGGCTTCCCAGCCCGGGAGGGACCGCCTCCGATTGTCTTTATTTCTGAAAGCAATCACCCCACTGGGCCTCTCAGTGGGGGCTGATCAGCTGCACCCGCCCATCCGCCAAACCAGCACTTTCCTCCTTCACTCAGTTGGGGGGGTGAGTGGCCTGGGGCCCCCCAGAGAGGAGCTGACTGGCCTCGCCTGGAACTACGGCAGGACAGCCGGCTCCATCCCCAGTGGACACGGAGCTTGGGATGCACCACAAACCTAGGCGGGGAGCCGGGGAGGGGGCCCAGAGGCCCCTCTCGGGAGCAGATGCCGAAGGCTCTGTTCTCTGGGGCATGGAGGGTGAGGGGGGCCTGCCAGGCCTCTGCCCTGCCCCAAGTCAGCTCCCTTGCCCCCACCCGGGTCTGCTTCTCCCTGAATGGGCCTGAGCCCAGCCGTGAGCCGCGGAGAGCAGAGCGCGGGGTCCCCACCATCTGGAGCTGCCGCATGTCACCACGTGATCACCGCACCCTGTTATTTCACCAACATCGGCGGGACTTAAAAACAGCTTTGTACAATGGTGGCACTCTCTTTGTTTTTTTTTTTTTTTTGCAAAACATCTTGGTCAATGATCTGCGACAAGAATGCAGTGACCCGCAGTGACGCGTCACTGCCCAGAATGGGGGTGACATGGGGCATAGGAGAGACATCGACAAACCCAAACCTCCTGGCAGGAAAAGAATGCAGTAAAACTGAGAGAAGGTCTCCAAGAGCCGAAGCCTTCCAGGTGGGGGCGTGGGCCCCGCCCACAGCGCACTCTCGGGAGGAAAAGTCCCGAGCTGAGGAAGAAGCCGCTGCACGCTCCCCACAGGGAGGGACTGGCACTAGCCTGGCCTAACTAGAAGCGTTTCCCCTTGAGGAAACTGGGCTGGGATGAGGACGGGTCCAGCCGGCTCCACCCGGTGGGGCTGTGACTTTGCGCTTCTGCCCCCATCTCCCTGTCTCGAAAGCCGCTGTCCGGCGAGGGTCAGGAGGGACCATGGACATGGCACGCAGGTGCAGTGCCTGGCACAGAGGGAGGTGCAGAGAGCAAGTCCTTCCCTGTCCTGCAAACCTCCCCGCCCTGCTGCAGCCTGGAGGTGAAGTCGCCCTCTGGGGGGCCCGACCTCGTGGACAGGATGAGCAGGTGCTCAGTGCTGCCCTGGGCCACAGGACCCCGCTCCCGAGTCCCCTCCAGCCCTGGCGTGGCCCACCCTGGCTGGCTCCCCATCATCCCTCGAATGACGCCAGCCCCTCTTCAGCACACAACACCTCCCACGCCTGAAGCTGCCGCCTGTCTTGCCGGGCCCGGAATAGAGCCGCCCCGAACGGGCCCTTCCGGCAAGGCCGGCCTCAGCAGCAGCTCTGCCCCCCCCCCCCCACACACACCCCATGCCAACGGTGCTTCCGTCTGTGGCACCTTTGGGCCCAGCTCGTCCAACCAGCGGGCTGGGAAGGGGTGGGAGGAGGAGGGGAGAGGGAGCCTGGGGAAGGAATAACCTAGTAAGGCAGGAGGAACCCAGACCCGGGGTCAGGAGAAGGCTTCTCCCATCCATGACACCCTAACTAGACCGGGCAGCCGGGATGGCGCCCGGGGGTCCCTCTTGGCCCTATGTAGGGACGGAAGCTTCATGGCTCTGCAGATGGAGAGTACAGAAGGAAAAAATCTTGGAAAGGTGAGGAGTGAGTGAGTGGAATTCCTTCCTGGGGTGTCAGGAGACGAAGAGGCAGCGGCCAGCACCCCAGCCCAGCCTCCACCCGCACGCGGGGCAGAAAGAAACAGACTCCAAAGGAACCGGCACAAGCGTCAGCGAGAGACACCCAGGCCTCATTCGAGGGACAGACCCGGGCCCGAGCTCAAGCGAAAAACCCACAGCCTGTTGCTCCGTGAGAGAGAAGAGGAAGAAACATTACGGGGGGGCTCAGCCATGCTCACCCCTCAGGGAGCACGGGGCGGGACCGGAGAGCTGACCCCTGGCCCGGGTCCTGGCCTCCAGGGCGTTTTAGCCTTTCCTGGGGGACCCAGTCGCCAGCTTCAGCTTCGGTCCTGACCCCAGGCCTCTGCTCCAAGCCAGGGTCAGAAATTATCTTAGGAGAGGGTCACGGTGGACACGATGCCGCTTCTCAGGGGCCAGATCAGCGGCCAATGGGGCCAGTTTCATTTTGGCAGCCACAAGCGGGCGTGCGGCTGACTTCCTGGCCCTCAGTGACCCCTCTCCTAAGCCCTGCCCCGCCCCGAGAGAGGCACCGCTGGCCGCAGCTGCAGGTCCAGCCGGGGTCGGAGCGGTCCAGAGAGGGACAGGCAAGCCCAGAGGGGGGTCGGCCGAGAGCTCCCGGCGCCGGAGACGTACCATTGACCAGGCCGGGGTCGGCACTATCTGCAGCATTTGAACCTGCCGCGCCATCGGCCGCTGTGGGGTGGAGGGTGGAGAATGCGTCACGATGGGGCAGCAACAAACACACAACAGCAGCGACGCACGACATGAGCTGGCGGGCGGGAAGTCACGGGGCCCTGGGCCTCAGAACACACACCCAGACCTCCGCTGGCAACCGGGAAACTCGGGCTGGGTTGTGCGTGGGGCCTGTGTGGGGGGCGTGTGTGTGTGTGTGTGTGTGTGTGGGGGGGGGGGGTGAAATGTTCCCAGAACAGGTACAGGGACTGGGTGAAAACAAACCAGGGGAGGGATCAGATCAATAGTACAGCGGGGAGGGCGCCTGCCTCGCACGCGGCAGACCCGGGTTCCATCCCCGACACCCCTTAGGGTCCCCCTGAGCGCTGCCAGGAGTGATCCCTGGGTGCAGTCAGGAGCCAGCCCTGAGCCCTGCCAGGTGTGACCCCCAAACAAAACAAAACAAAACAAAACAAAAACCAAGCTCGGCCATGCCAGGCTCTGAAAGGAGACAGGAGGGTGACCAGCAGGGCTTGGGGACGGGATGGCCGTGGGCCGGGGGTCTGGCAGGGGACACAGCGAGGGTGACTCGGCCACTGCACAACACCAGCTTCCTGCCAACCCGACGGCCGAGGAGCAGCGCCCCCTGGGAGGTGACTCAGGGGCCGTGTGTGTCCCTGAATCTCACAGATGCCGTGAAGTGGTGACGCACGCGCGCACTCTCTTTGGGGGGATGGGGCCCTGCGGGGTACAGGGACGGGCCGTGAGGAGGGGCCCGCTGGGGCTCGGGAGGTGCTGAGTGGGGCGCGGAGGCCCCTGTGGGCTGTGGTGTGTGGCTGCTAAGCTGATGCGCTGGGGGGGGGGTCTGGAGTGGCCCGTCCCGGTGGGCACTGGTGAGGGAGCAGTCGCGGGGCACGTCCTGCTCAGCCCAGGGCCCCGAGGTCACAGCCCTGCCTGCCCTGAGGGTGTCTTACTGTACCTGGTAGCTGGAGGCCATCCCCCTTCTTCACACCTGCATGATGATTGTGGAGACGTGTTAATGGAGAAGCACACACAGCCTCAGCTGTACACGTGAGCACACACATGTGCACACACACACACACACAGGTGCCCACCACACTCGTACAATCGCACACCCTGCGTCGTCCTGAAGTGAAACCCCGGCTTGGGGAGCTCTAAGCCGGGTGTGGGGGGTCTGGGGGCTGCTGGGCTCTGCCTGGCTCTGGTGTCCGGGGGTGGCCGCGTCCCCTCGCAGTGCTCTGTGCTGGCACCTCCCAGCACGGGACCCTCGGCCATCTAGGGTGGGAGCCGCTCTCATCCCCGACACGCGTTCAGAGACTCTCCCGGCCGTGCATCTTCGATTCCTCTTCTGGCCCCGGAGGGGAGGGTCCAGGGGGCGAGTAAAGCTGCCCACACCTAGCCCAGGGACCGCAGCTGCCCACTGCCTGCAGTCTGACCCACGGCTGCCCAGCACTGGCTGAGCATCCTCTGGGCTCTTGGCTTCAGCTGAGCTCAGCTCTCCCCTGCCCCCTGATCACGCCATTATTCCTGTGGGCGGGACAGCCATCCCTCAGGGGACCCCGTAAATTCGGTTTCATCCTCAGGGTTGGGTCATCTTTGCCCTTGACTCCAGTTCAGGGCCTGTCAGGCCTCGGCCACTGAAGGCCACACGCAGCCCCCAGGAATCAGGGAGGCCAGCGGTGATGTCCCCTTCTCCCCCCAGAACCCAGGAGGTCTGGGTGGTAGGGACTGGAGACGGAGAGGGGAGACCGGTGCGGGAAGTGGGCTGGCCCTGTTGTGCTGGCCTGTAGGGGCTGGGGGCTCGTGTCTCCCAGGGTTTCCTCTGCTCTGGGGCGCAGGCTGCTGCATGATGGAAGCCAGGGACTGACTCTTGCTTCCAGGGGGGGAGACGGAACCAGAACCCAGCTGAGGAATGGCAGTGGGGACACAGTGACCCCTCTGCTCGCGTCTGGGGTCACCCATGCTGCGCCCATTCGGAGCTCTGCTCAGTGGAGTGGGGAGCAGGGGTGGGGCGGGCAGGGGTTTGGGGGCTTCCACTCCAGAGGGTGAAGGGGCCAGGAGGTGTGATGGCGCCTGTCCTCGAGGCTCTGGACTCAACAAAGCTGTCAGGCCCGGGGGCAGGAGGCCACACAGGACTGGACAAGACAGACGGGGGACAAGACTGCGGAGATGGAACGAACAGAGCTCGCCGGCCCCGGCAGGGCTGGAGGATGCAGGTGGTGGCTGTTGGCGCAGAGCCCAGCTGTGAAAGTCACTCAGAAACTCTCCTGTCGCCTAAACGAACGGACCAACTGAGGCAAAACAGTGGCCTTAAAAGCTCCTCTCCCAGGCTGAGGGGCTGGCGGGTGGTCAGGCTTACCTTTTTTGTCTTTCTTCTCTTCTTCTTCGCCACCGGCCCCCAGCAGGGTAAAGATGATACCAGTCTGGGAGTTGACACCCACAGCCGTCACCACCATTTTTCCAGAACCTTCCATCACATGTGTCCCTGGGTGGGGGCAATAAGAACCAATCTCCATGACCACATATCTCCCCAAAGGTGGTCCCAGGTTGTGCCCAACACCCTGATGGCCTTAGTCAGCCCTAGGTGCTGCCCATGCTGGAGTTTGTGCTTGTGGTTGGTTCTTTGAAGATGGTTTCACTGTGGCCCAGCGGGTGTTGGGCTCACATACTAGCACATTCTTTCTCCCTAACACGCCATGCCGGGTCTGCACTCCCTCCCCCTCACTGGTAATCTGAGAAACTCCTCTCTTCATTTCTGGGCCACACTGGCAGTGCTCAGGGCCTTTCCTGGCCTGCAATCAGGGGCTGCTCCTAGCCGACCTCAGGGAACCAATCAGTTCCTGGGCTGAAACCTGGGCCTCCCCGGGAGAAGCAGTGTTCAGCTCATCCCTCCGTCTCTCCAGTTCTGTGGAGACAGTCTTGCCGAGCAGAAAGACACTTTCTGTTCTTTCTCCTGGATTCTGCAACCACTCAAGAAATTTCCACAGAGCCTTAGGCAGGGCTGCGTCAAGTGGGGCCTCCCGCCCACCAAAGACATAGAGAAAGGATTCAGAGCTCCAGGGTCGTTATTTTCATGCCCAACTGGTTGGGACTTAGCACTTCTCATGACACACGCAGGCCACAAAACCCCGTTGTGTTCGCAGTGCCATGAAGCCATGGAACTCATCACAAAGCCTCCAGGCGTTTCATTTTCCTTTACAGAGCTGCAGAGTCGCCCTTTTCGATTCTATAGCTGAGGCAGTTACCAAACTTCTGCTAGACCTTGTTATTTATATTTAGCACGTGACCATATCACGTGTCAAAAAATACTTAAGATTCCACTCTTGGTGCCAGTGCATTTTTAAGAAGTTTATGCATTTTATTTTGGTCATACATAGTGCTGTTTGTGGTCTCTTCCTGGTTCTGAGCTTGGGCGTCTCTCCCCAAGATGCTCGCGGCAACGTGTGATGGGTGCTGGGGACGGAACCTGCCCTCCTGCCTGCAAATGTGTGCTCAGCCCACTGGGCCCTCTCGCTGGCCCTTGGTTTTTGCATTTCAAAGCTTTGTGCCATGTCAGGGTGGCACATGATGTTGCCAGACTCTCTGGGGCCCGGGGGTACAAGGAAGCCCAAGGGCTCGTCTAGAAGGTCCTTGCATTCCTCCAAGGGCCCGAGAGCCAGGGAGGTTTTTGGGCAAAGTGGCCTCACTTTTTTTTTTAATATATATATTATTAGTGAAACACCATGAGGTACAGTTGTAGACTTACAAATTTTTGTGCTTGGGTTTCAGTTATACAATGATCAAGTACCCATCCCTCCACCAGTGCCCATTTCCCACCACCACGGATCCCAGTATCCCTCCCACCCCCCATCTCCCCCACCCCACCTTGCCTCTGTGGCCGGGCATTCCCTTTTGTTCTCTCTCTCCTTTTGGGTGTTGTGGTTTGCAAAAGAGGCATTGAGTGGCAGTCATGTTTGGGCCATAGTCTACTTTCAGCACACATCTCCCATCCTGGGAGGATCCTCCCAACACCCTTTATTTGGTGCTCCCTTCTCTATCTGAGCTCCCTTTTCCCCTAGCATGTGTGGCTGGCCTCCAAGCCATGGAGCAAAATTCCTGGTGCTAATCTCAGAGTGGCCTCACTTTCATCCACCTGTGGGGCTTGGGTCCAGCTGTTCTTTGATAAGAGGGTTTTGCTGCCACTAGGGTGGGCGAGCACCTGTCCAAGGACACCGAGGGGGCAGTGAAGCAGAGCAGGTGGGGCCTGGCCAAGACCTGGGCTGTTCCCCCGGGCCTGCACACAGGAGCTGCCTGACGCAAGTGGGCTGCGTGAGCTCTGGGTGAGGGAACATCCGACTGGAGTCCGCTCCTTCCCTCCACACTCCTGGTCCTCTCCTCACTCAGGCCCAGCTGGCACCTGCGGGGCACCGTGGGAGGGCCCTTCACTCACAGCCTTGCTCGGTCAACTCCTCCTCATCCGACAAAGCCCCGCCGGTCGCCTCCACCTGGATGCCCCCCTCACCACTCTCCAGTGGGATGACCTCCGGCTGAGTCTGTCTTCCCGGCCACCCCCTCTCCTCCTTTGCCCTTCAGGCAGCTAGAGTCTAATAAAGGGCCGAGATGACCAGCTCACCGCTTCAAACTACCCCCGTGACCTGCAGGAACACCCCAGTCCTGCCTGCCGCCATGAAGTCTGCCATCTGCTCCCCGCTCCCACCCCACCTCTGCCTCCTGCCTCTGGGCCTTTGCACAAGCTGCTCCCTCCGTCTGGAACAGTAACACCCGCCCCCAGGAACCAGGCCGGCTCTGTCCCCCAGCCCCCCCAGCTCGTTGCGCCCACGTGCCTGCCACCTTCTGGGGTTCCCAGGTGCCTGGCCTGGCTCAGCAGGGTGGGTGGGAGGCTCCTGGACCCCAATCAAGGCTGCACCCCACATGCAGCCCCCCGCTCGGGGTGAAACCACAGTGCCTGGGTCTCCTCCTCCCCACTACAGGGGGCGCAGCCAGAGACCCTGCAGGACACCAGGCCCCAGAAGGTCGTCCCGGGATGCCAGGGACCTTGGGGGGGCGGGGTCGGATCCAGCACCTGGGGCTGAGCAGGCCCCCCTCCCCTGTCCAGGCGCATCACAGCGGGCATGGGATCGTCCGGCCAAGCTGACCAAGAGCAAAGGCTCAGAGGCCGCAGCCCCCTGGAGGCCTCTCAGCCGCGCGGGGGGGGGGGGTGGGGGGGCTCACCTGACAGCAGCATGGGGTCCTTGTCCACGGACTTGCGCACCTGGTCAGACTCCCCAGTCAGGGAGCTCTCGTCGATCTTGAGGTCGTTGCCTTGGATGAAGAGACCGTCGGCAGGGAGAAGGTCACCTGGAGGGAGGGGGAGGGACAGGCCAGTGAGCGGCTGTGCGGGGGCTTCGGGTGTGACTGCCGGGCTGGGGGCCGGCTGCCCGGGGCTCCTGGGTCAGGACCAGGCCGGGGTCCCAGGGGACGGTGAGGAGGGCTGAGGTGGGGCCTGACAGCTGTCCTCACGAGGACGGGTGTGTGCTGGGTCTGGGGCGGGCTCGCCTCATCCTGGCTGGGACGTGTCCACTGTGGTTTGGGAAACTGTTTCAGAGCGGTCAGCTTTGGTCCTGCTGAGGTCAGAGGGGGAGAACATGTGGCTCTGGAAACGCTCTGGGCCTCCTCCCCAGTGCCGAGGGGGCTGTCACCTGCTCCTGCTCGCTTCTGGCCCAGGGGCACCAGTCCAGTCAGCTCAGGGCAGGGAAGAGCCTCAGGTCACAGCCCGCCCCAGTGCTGCCGGTCCCTGGGGTGCTGGGTAGGATGGGCACAGGGTTGGAAGGGGGGTGTTGAGTGGTGACTGTGGCCACCGAGCAGTGATTGATTATCAATGTCTGCCAGGCTGCAGCATGGCCCTCCCGGCCCACTTCTGATTCAGACTGTTTCCAGAACATTCTCTCTTGTAGGCAGTGGTTCCCCACACCCACAAGGGCTCAGATGGGGTCCTGGGCTGAGACCTGCCTTGGGAACCCGCCTCCCGCCCCGGCCTGTCCATCTGGATCTGCCCCTAGCCCTGCTCGAGCACCGGAACTCGCCAGAACTCACCATATTTGATCTGGGCGATGTCCCCGACCACGATCTCGGCCACGGGGATCTGGACCACCTGGCCAGCCCGGACCACGGTGAACTTCTGCTCCTGCTCGATGCGACTCTGCAGGCCCCGAAACTGCTTCTCTTTGCTCCAGTCATTGAAGGCCGTGACCAGTACCACGCAGATGACGGACAGGAGGATGGCCGCCCCCTCGATCCAGCCGGCCTCCGCCTCCCCCTCGTCCTCAGCCCCGCCCTGGGCCGTGGCGCATCCTGTAGAGAGCAGAGGGGGCAGGCGGGGTGAGGCCAGGGCGGGGCACTCGCCTACCCAGCGGCCTTCTGCCCTGGTGGTCTTGGCCAAGGGTTCAGTGACGGCGGCTTTAGCCCACGGTGGTGGGGAGGGAGGGTGGAGCCCGGACACAGACCTGGGCTCTCTGCCGGTGTCTGCCCACACCCATTGGCCCACCCCCGGCTCCCCATCTGGCAGCAGAATTTCTGTGCATCTCTGGTCAGGCTCCTGCTTCCTCTCCAACCCGGCCTCGACCGAGGGCTCTGCAAGCCTGATCTGGGCCCAGTGGCCCCAGAGCGGCTGGTGGTCAGGTGTGACTGACCCCTGGTTCTCAGGAATCCCAGGGAAGGTGGCAGCTGGTGACAGAGAAACCACCAGGTTCCCGCTGTCAAGTAACTCGGGGCCAGAGCGAAGGCACAGCAGGTAGGGCGTAGCTGCCTTGCTCGCAGCTGACCCAGGTTCGATTCCCAGCATCCCATAGGGTCCCCCGAGCACCGCCAGGAGGAGTACCTGAGTGCAGAGCCAGGAGTAACCCCTGAGCATCGCCAGGTGTGACCCCAAAAGCAAAAAAGAAAAACCCAACAACACACAGACTCTGTGCAATAGTGCAGTGAATGCACGGCTGAGGGAGGGGCTTTGGGGGAGACCCAGATGCCCAGAGGTTGCAGGGCCCCGGGGGAGGGAAGAGGCTGGGGACGCCCCACCCTCTTTCTGGAGCTGGGAATCCTGGTGATTTTGCTTGTTCTGGGCCTAGGTGGGGGTGGGTGGGGGAGGAGGTGGTGTAGACAGCCGGGCAGGGCCCAGCTCTGCAGGGGCCTGGGGGGGGACACATGATCCCACTGGGAAGAGTCAGATAATCTTCTTTACAGCCCAGCCTGTGTTCTGTGTGCCTAGGGCCAGTGCTGCTCACTTTGGTCTTTAGATTCTGACCAGGACGAGGCTGTTTGTGTTTTTTTATTTGGCGGGGGGGGGGGGGGGGGGGGGAGGGGTTCCCGATTCACAGGGAGCCAATGCCTGATCCCCTCACCCACCCCTGACTCTGAATCTCGCATGAAGTTGGGTCCCCTAGGTGCTGTTTCTCAATCTGCCTCCTTTGAAGAATTGGCACTAAGGGCGGGAGTGGAGGCCGGAAGCCAGGACGCCTGGGCCCGAGTGACCAGCATGAGCTCCCGGGCCGGGCACCCAAGGGATGCAGCCCGAAAGGCGTGTGGTGGCTGTCAAGGCCGGGAGATGTGTCTGGGCTGTGCTCCGGGCCGGCATCTGTAGCTTCATGCCAGTCTCCAGGCAAAAGCCGTGGCAAGAGGGTCCCAGGCTCACCGCACCCACTGCCTGTTTCAGAGAAGGAAGCCCCCACAGCTGTGGGCACTCTGCCTTCCCCAAGGAGCAAACAGGAAAAGCCCCCTCAGGCCGCCCCACCCCAGACCAATTTCACAGAGGTTCCTGCCACTTCCAGTGCACCTTTCCCAGGGAAAGATTTTTAAAACACTGAGAAATGTTTGCTCAGTTTGTTGCCTCCTCTGCATCTCTTAGACTGGGCTAGGTGAGTGTTTACAGAGGATCCGTTCTCGGCGAAAATGGGATCTTCCTAAAGCATTGCTTCATGCTCCCCCTCCTTGCTGGGCACAAGTACCCCAGTTCATTTTTGCCTTGGCTGCTGGGAAGCTCAAACCCATGCTCCAGCCCCTGTCACTGTGGCAGATGTGCCTCTCCTGACGTTCCCAGCTCTGGGAGCATACCCCTCTCTGCCTTGGAACTTTCTTTGGAAAGAGGTCGCATTAAAAAAAAAAATCAACTTTAGGGCCAGAGTGATAGGACATTGGGGAGGGCATCTGCCTTGCACGCAGCCAACCTGGGTTCAATCCCCGGCACCCCATACGGTCCCCCGAGCACTGTCAGGAGTCATTCCTGAGTGCAAAACCAGGAGTAATCCCTGAACCTTGCTGGGTGTGACCCAAAAAGCCAAAAAAAAAAAAAGTCAACTTCATAATATTGTGAGGTTGCTTTGGTTCCTCCCATGCCTTGGTTACCGGTTTGGGGTGAACCTAGCCTGGCTTGGGAAGAACAAGGGAGGAGGATGAAATTCTCAGCACCCAGTGCCCAGTCTGGGGGAGAACAAGGCCCTCCATGCTTTCTTCCATGGTCCTCACACTGCGTTTGCTTCCCTGAGACGGGCGCGTGGGAGGGTGATCTCTCCAGGCATAGCATTTATTAAAGAAAAGGGCTCACAGTATCCTGCTAATAAAAACGAGACCATAAGGCACTAGAACAACGAAATAATAGGTCTTAATGGATCCCACAGACCCCAGAGTAGATGGGAGTCGGGAGTCTGGGTGTGTGTGTAGATATTACCTTTCACGCCTCATGCGATCCGTGGACCTATTCCTCTCCCCTGCAACCGCGTGTCTCACCCATTCCCCGTTCATCTACCCACCTACCTACCCTTCCTACCCCCCTACGTCTCTATCCAGCTGCCCACCGCATGCCCACGTCTATTTATTATCTGTCCATTCATGTCTATCTACCCATTTATCTCTGCACCAACCCATCCATCCATCACCATCCGTTATCCACCCAGGCAGTATGCATTCCATCATCCATGCATCCATCAATCCATCCATCCTTCCATCATCCATCTACCCATGAACCCACCCACCCACCTCTCCATCCACCTCCCCATCTATCCATCCACCTATCCATCCATCCATCCATCCATCCATCCATCCATCCATCCATCCCTACACCCATCTCTCCATCCATCCAACTGTCCATCCATCCATCTTTACATCCATCCATTTCTCCATCCACCCATCTTTATACTCACCCATCCCTCCCTCCTCGCTCCCTGTGTCCACAGTGTGATGTGGTGGTCCTTCAGACACACGTACACCCTGAGGGGCTACAGTCACTGAGTAAAACCCTCACCCTCAGAGCCTTGACTCTGGACTCCGGGAACGTGTGAAGGTGGCGGTTCTGCCGTATTCTCTGGTGGGACGGGAGGTGCCACCCCCACAGAGCGGGCGGGCACCTCTCGGGGCTCAGCTCCCACGTGGGAAACTGCATCTGGTATTAGCCCCACAGTACGTGTAGCTGAGCCGACCCGGGATGGGTATGAGCCTGGCAGAGGCTGGGCTGAGAGGCTGTGTCCTGGGCAGCCGCAGGCTCATGCCACCCTCTGTGCCTCAGTTTCTCCCTGGTGCATGCCACGACTGGCTGAGAGGTTCTGAGGGGGAGGAACACCTCAGCCGGAGCTGGTACAGAAGTGCCCAGTCCGTGCCCATGACCATGGTGGGCACCTCAGGCTCATCCCCAGGTTTCGCCCCTGGGCAACAGTGGCCTGGCATTGTCACACCCCTTGGTCCTGCTTTCCTCACCCGGATGTCACCTCTCCACACTCCTTCCGGTGTGCTGGCATGAGTGGTGTGGCTGGTGTGGGTGACGTGGGCAGTGTGGTGTGAGTGTGGGGGCACTGTGGCTGGTGCGGGTAGCGGGATGGAACTGCTGGTGTGACTAGGTGGGCGGGGGCTGCTGTGGCTGACGTGAGCAGGGGGGTGTGGCTGGTGTGGGTGGCGTGGCTGAGTGGGCAGAGGCTGGTGTGGCTAGTACAGCTGGCGTGGCGGCCCCGTCCTACCTTCGTTGCTCTCTCCGGGCGGGTGGTAGAAGGACAGCCCGAGGCTGATGATGGCCGCGATCTCCAGGATGATGAGCGTCACGTCCTGCAGCGCCTCCCACACGAGCTGCAGGAAGGTTTTTGGCTTCTTTGGAGGTATGAAGTTCTGCCCGAAGATCTGCTTCCTCTTCTCCAGGTCCGGGGCGGTGCCGGGCAAACCTGCGGACGGGGTGTGGGTGGGTGGGTGTGGGCCCGACCCCCAAATGGTCCCCACAGGGCTCGGCCCAGGCGGAGGCGTCAGGGCTGGAAACTCGCAGGAGCCCGTTGCCCGTGGCGGGCTCTGGGCCTGCAGTGACTCCTGTGACAATCCCTGACATGCCCTGACATGCTCCGACATGCCCCGGCCTGCCAGCGACCTGCGCAGTGGGAGAAGGTGGTTTTCCCTGGGCTGTGCTCGGGTTCTAACCCCCAGGACCCTGGGGATGCGGCATTCACGGGAAGATGGTGCTGTCTGGCATCTCCGGGTCTGGATGGGCCCTCAGATCAGTGGCAAGTGTCCTGCTAAGGACAGAGGCAGGGTGAGGTGACGTGGGAGGGGCTGGTGCTCAGAGCCCTCGAGGCAGCCCGGCCCGTCTGACCCCGGCCCCCCACCCTGCCCCCCAGACTTGCAGGGTTCCATTCTCGGGCCAGGCGCCCGCTCTGACATCTACCCATGGCCCCGGGATCTGCATCTCGATGCTGGTTCCAGCCTCCGCCCGAGGCCCAGCCCAGAGCATGCAGCCTCAGTTTTCCCCTCTGAGAGGGGCATGGGCACTGTCCAAGTGCAGGAGGTCACCTGCTCCGGCTTGTGCCCGACCCCAAGAGGGAGCAGTGCCCGCCACGGGGGACATTGTGCACAAGCTTGTGCATGCTTGTCCGCCAGCTATGATGCTCCCCAGGGGACGCGAGGAAGGGGCACAGCCGAGAGACCACTCCCCTCCCCTTTCTAGATCTTTCTCCCAGACTCAGCTTTCGTTTTGCCATGCTTGCCGAAGTTCGTATCTTTCTGCCCCGTGTTCATGTATGACCGTCACTATCACTGTCCCGTTGTTCATCGATTTGCTCAAGCATACCCAGTAACATTGTGAAACTTGTTGTTACTGTGTTTGGCAGAATCTAGAAATCGGTACAAGATCATTTGAAAAACTGTAACTATGTATTGTCTTTAAAAGCCTAACATGTTTCTTTGTTACAAAGTATTGCTGAAGCCTGGTCTCGACTTTCAAATACATTTTCAGCTTCTTCTCCAAATTGTTAAAAGTTACTGACAATCTCATTTGTAAACACCAACTTCTGCCATCTGTCATTTCACTCTATTCCTTCAGATGTGTTTTCTCTCTGGTGTATCATAACCGTATTTGATGATCTCTTGCCCAAATAAATAATTACGAACGTCAAAGAAAATCCAGGGGTTGCGGCTCCGGCGTCTCCCTGTCCGCCAGGGGCCTGGAGGCAGGTGGTCCTTTACCTCCCCTTCCTCCGCGCCCCCCTGTGCCTCCGAGACCGATGGACCTCACGTGCCCCAGCGGTCCTGGCACCTCCCGAGTCCCGCGTGCAGTGGGAGGGTCGCGACGGCCTCTGCTTCATCTCCACTCCTGCCCAGTGTCCACCCGCCCGGAGGTGGCCGGGTGAGTCTGGGAACCCTGTGGGGTGTCCCAGCGGGGCCGGCCTGTCGCTGAGGCCGGCCTGCCTGGGCTTGCCTGTGGCTTTCTGGGGACAGCGGGAGGATGAGGAGCAGAGAGCTGGGCACCCCCTCAAGGGACCTCTGGATCGGGGCCCCAGGAGAGTGCCCTGAGCATCCGGGTGAAAGAAGGGAACTGCAGCCTGTCGGCGCTTGTGGCTGGGAGGGCAGGGGCGCAGAACTAACGGGGCACCTCCCTAACGCCTCCCCTGCCCCTTCTCGGGGCTCTGCTGGGCCCTCAGGGACGCGCCCAGAGCCCATGGACGCAGGGAAAGGTGGGCCTGGGCCATCCTGCAGCCTGAGCTGGGCACGTCCCTCTTTGGGGTCCTGGTGCAGAGCCCTCCGGGAGGCTGAGAGGGAGTCGTCATTCGGGGCTCCTCGAGCTGGGCTGGCCGAGACCTATGACCCGCCGTTGGCACGGTGAGCCGAGGGCTGAGGGTCCTGCTGGCTGGCCAGGCCTGGGTACAGCACGGAGGCTGCAGGAGCCCAGGCTACTCCCACAAGGGGGCGCCTTGGGCTCTGGGAATCTGGCAGGAATGTTGGGAATGAGGTGGGAATGCTGGGAATGTTGGGAATCACACAGGAGTGGTGGGATTACCAGGAATCAGGTGGGAATTCTGGGAATGTTGGGAATCAGGCGGGAATTCTGGGAATGTTGGGAACCAGGCAGGAATTCTGGGAATGTTGGGAACCAGGAGGGAATTCTGGGAATGTTGGGAAATGGGCAGGAATTCCGGGAATGTTGGGAAATGGGCAGGAATTCTGGGAATGTTGGGAACCGGGCGGGAATTCTGAGAATGTTGGGAACCAGGAGGGAATTCTGGGAATGCTGGGGATCAGGCGGGAATGCTGAGAATGTTGGGAACCGGGCGGGAATTCTGGGAATGCTGGGGATTGGGCAGGAATTCTGGGAATGCTGGGGATTGGGCGGGAATGCTGGGAACGTTGGGAACCAGGCGGGAATTCTGGGAATGTTGGGAACTGGGCGGGAATTCTGGGAATGTTGGGAACTGGGCGGGAATTCTGGGAATGCTGGGAATTGGATGGGAATCCTGGGAATGTTGGGACCCAGGCGGGAATTCTGGGAATGCTGGGAACCGGGCGGGAATTCTGGGAATGCTGGGACCCAGGCGGGAATTCTGGGAATGCTGGGAACCGGGCGGGAATTCTGGGAATGCTGGGAATCGGGCGGGAATTCTGGGAATGCTGGGACCCAGGCGGGAATTCTGGGAATGCTGGGAACCGGGCGGGAATTCTGGGAATGCTGGGAATCGGGCGGGAATCCTGGGAATGCTGGGGATCGGGCAGGAATTCTGGGAACGCTGGGGACCGGGCGGGAATTCTGGGAATGCTGGGGACCGGGCGGGAATTCTGGGAACGTTGGGGACCGGGTGGGAATTCTGGGAACATTGGGGACCGGGCGGGAATTCTGGGAATGTTGGGAAACAGGCGGGAATTCTGGGACCGTTGGGGATCGGGTGGGAAAATTAGGAAAACTGGGAATCGGGTGGGAATGCTGTCCAGGGCTCCTGATGATGATGATGGTGATCACCCAACCATGCACAGTACAAGCAGGCATCAACCACCCCCATGGTTCTAGGAACTGCAGAAAGTTTCTAGACCTCCACCCTCTGCACAGTTCTACCTTTGTGTAGTTGAGACTACACACCTGGGTTGCACCCGTCAGCCCATAGCTGTGGCTCTTGCCCGCTCCTGAGGGGGACCAGTGTATTCTCTGGACCCCAAGGTGCAGTTTGGCTAATTGGGAGGGGGCACCAGGGCGCAGAGGGCCTCTGAGGAAGGGGCTACAGCCATCAGCACTGTCCTGTCACAGCTGGTTCCTCTGCCCTTGGCCAGCCAGTTTTCCTGAGCCTCAGTTTCCCCACGGACAGCCCAAGTGTTCCATGTGCACAGCCCCAGGGTCCAGGTGTCTCCCCAGTGAGCAGGCCAATATTTTGGGGGCTTCTACTTAGAGTGGACGCATATACAGGGGCCCCCTAAGAAATGACCCAATTCCTGCATCTCCTGATAAACTCAGCGAGGTCAGTCTGAATGTCTGGAGGTTGCCATCCTGGGAGGCCGGGGGTCAGTGGGAAATGTGGGTGCTCTTTAGCTGGTGCTCGGGAGAGAGCTCGGGCTCTGGGTCTGACTGTGGCTTGGGGGCTTCTCCCCTGCTGAGACCCTGGATCCTAGCGCAGCCTAGGGCGGGGCGGCAAACACCAGCATCCCCGGGGGTGGTGCGAGCTGGGGGAAGGGGAACAGCCAGGGTGGCACTGGAGGGCACGGGGGTGGGGGGGGTGGCAAAGCGAAGCGTCTCGCAGCTCGGCCCTGGGCTTCCAGCTGGAGAGAATCCGGACCCCTGGAGACTGACGCCAAGCTCCTGTGAGAGCCTCCCCAGAGCGAGGACTCAGCTCAGGGGGACACGTTCTCCCCACTGGCTTCTGTCCCCGGAACCACAAGGACGGTCCCCAACATTCCAGGGGCCAATGCCAGACATCCGTGAGCAGGATGAGACGGGGGGGGGGGGCAGAGAACAGCCGCTCCGGCCCCTCCTCCCCGCAGACCCCCAGCAGCACCCTGCGTGTCTGTACTACCACGAGCCCTGCGCCCACCACAAGCACCCCCAAATACAGGGGCGCGGGGCTGTGTGGCGCCTCTTTCTCTCAGACTCAGCCCTGAGGATTCAGGGAGGGTTTGGACTTGGATGTCCTGGGTCCCACTGCTGGCCCTGAGTGACAAAGTGCCTCAGTTTCCCCATCCGTGAAACAAGATGTGGGCAACAGCCGGGGTGCTGGTGGGGTGGGTGCGAGGGGCCCCAGGGAGGTATGTGACCGTCCACTCTCAGGGGTCCAGGGGAGGACAGCCCAGGTGTGGACAGACAGCGATTCTCTTCAGCCTCAGTTTCCCCTCCTGTGCCGTGAAGGGCCAGCCTGGCTGGGGGTGGGACACTGCGCAGCCTGACTCCGAGTCCATGAGGACCCACAGGGCATAGGCTGTCCCGTCCTGCCCACCGTCCCCCCTTCCAGGAGCTGCACCTCGAAATCTCCCCCGCCGGCAGCTAAAATTAACGCTCCTATTTTGGGGAGCAGAAACAACAGAGCGAGTGTGAGACGTGCCGGAGCCTCGGCTCAGGGTGAGAGCTGCTCCCAGGGCCGGGGACGAGGGGCTGTGGCACTGCTCGGCAGGGGGAGGCTCTGCCCGGTGTGCCCCGAGATGCCTGGGCATGGACAGCACGTGGTGTGGGCTGTGGGCAGCTGCCACGGTGGCATGAGGCTGTGGCTGGCCACATGGGTAGGGTCACGGCCGAGGCTGAGACACACGGCGTGGGCCGTGGCTTCATGGGGCCGTGGCTGGCATGCATAGGTGGGCTGTGGGGCCATGGCTTGGTGGCCGGCATGTGGCCTGGAGCCACGGGCCTCCCAAGGTCTGTTTCCTGTGCACACGCACAGCTAGAGGCAGAGAACTGAGTACAGGCCAGGAGCCGGCGGGTCCACCTGGG